CATCCACTCATTCCTCCATCCATCCATCTTCTCACCTGTCCGTCCACACATCCACTGACAATTTCATCCACTCATTCCTCCATTCATTAATCTTTCATCCATTTACCCATCTACCCCTCCATCTTTTCATTCATCCATCCAACTGTTCTTCCATCTATCCATCCACCCACCCGTTCTTCCTTCCCTAGATGCTTCCAGTATGCGTGAAGCACTCTGTCTAGACATGAACCAAAACACTGTCTGCCTGTGAGGAAGTCCAGATATTTCACTAGAAATGGCAGCTTGGAGGACAGAATGATGAAAACCAAGGCGGGGAAGCATAATACGCACCTGGAAGAGGCTGGGGTGGGGCTTATTTATTTATTTATTGAGACAGGGTCTTGCTCTGTAGGCCAGTCTGGAGTACAGTGGTGTGATCACGGCTCATTGCAGCCTCAACCTCCCAGGCTCAAGTGATCCTCCTACCTTAGCCTTCTGAGTAGCTGGGAACACAGCTGCCCGCCACTACACCTGGTAAATTAAAAAAATTTTTTTTTTTTTTTTTTGGTACAGACGAGGTCTTGCTCTGTTGCCCACGCTGGTCATGAATTCCTGGCCTCAACTGATCCTCCTGCCTCAGTCTCCCAAAGTGCTGGGGTTACCACTGCATTTCAGCCTGGGCGACAGAGCGAGACTCTGTCTCAAAAAGAAACAAACAAACAATCAAAAAGAAACAAACCAGCTTGGCCTCTTTCTTGCTGTGTGGTCTTGAGAAAGCAGCTTCCCCTCTCTGAGCCCCAGTTTCTCTCTGTGGAAAGTGGTGATAATATCTTACAGGAGTGTTATAAGCCTCCAAGGCAAGGTATGAGTTGTGCCCGGTCCCTGGTGGGGGCCCAGTAAGAGGAATCTCGTCTTAATATGATTCCATTTCCTCTGGGGGCACATCCTTCAGCATAAGGTGACTCTCAGTGGGCAAATCTGATTCACTCTGCGGAATTTAACTCAGCAGCCTCCTGAGAGAAAATCAGGCAGCTCTGTAAGATGTGGTTTGAGGGGGTGGTGGTGTAAGCCCAGCAGGAGCGTGTAAGTGATCGCAGTCCACTGGGGGAACTGTAGATGGCTGATAGGCCTGGGGATAGCAGAGTTGAATGGATGGAATTTCAGCAAGAAAGAAGGGGCAAGGTCTTTTTTTTTTTTTTGAGACGGAGTCTCGCTCTGTCGCCCAGGCTGGAGTGCAGTGGCGCCATCTCGGCTCACTGCAAGCTCCGCCTCCAGGGTTCAAGTGACTCTCCCGCCTCAGCCGCCGGAGAAGCTGGGACTACAGGTGCAAACTACGCCTGGCTAATGTTTGTATATTTAGTAGAGACGGGGTTTTACCATGTTGGCCAGGATGGTTTTGACCTCCTGACCTCGTGATCTGCCCACCTCGGCCTCCCAAAGTGCTGGGATTACAGGCATGAGCCACCGCCCCCGGCCCATGAATGCTTCTTAAGAGTCTAGCATAGGCAAGCCTAGTGCTGGGCAGTTGGTGTATTCTTTTGCCCTTCATCTCCCTTCCCTGCCTGCAAGGATTATCACTCCATTTTGCAGATGAAGAGACTGAGGCTCAGAGAGAGGAAAAATGGCTTGCCCAAGGTCATCTGGCTGGTAGCAGGGGTCAGGCTTTTCATGTGAGTCTGTATAATTCTCAAGCCCATAGGAAGGGGCATGTTTGGAGAGAGGTCAGAGGCTGGCAGGGTTGGTATGTATCATTGGCATGAAGGGAGTGTTGGAGACAAGGCCAGTAAGGCGGGTAGGGCCAAACCACCCAGGACCTCAGATGCCAGGCAGAGGGTCTGAAGGCTGTCCTCGAGAGGCAGCAGAGGGCCAGGGTCGGTTGTGTGGATAAAAAAGACTCTCTGGCCAAGTGTGAAGGCTCATGCCTGTAATTACAGCACTTTGGAAGGCCAAGGAAGGAGGTTCACTTGAGCCCAGGAGTTTGAGATGAGCCTGGGCAGCATGATGAGACCCCCATTTCTATAAAAAATTAGCTGGGCATGGCACTATGTCCCTGTAGTTCCAGCTACTTGGGAGGCTGAGGCAGGAGGATCGCTTGAGCCCAGGATGTCTCAAAGCTGAAGTGAGCTGTGATGGCGCCACTGCACTCCAGCCTGGGTGACAGAGGAAGACCCTGTCACAAACAACAACAACAAAAGCAGAGCCTCTGGGAGTGGGTGGGGGCAGAGTGGACAGGAGAGAAGAGACTGCAGTGACAGTGGTTGCGGGGGGCTGAAGCTTGAGCTGCCGCTGGGGCCAGGGGGACAGAAGGGGAGGCTCAGCAGAGAGTCAGGAGGCTGGACATGGGACATGGAGCTTGGGGGCTGATGGCCTGTGAGATGGGAGGGGCAGGAAGAGACAAGGACAGTACCTGGGGGTCTGCCTTATTGACTGGGTAGATGGAGTGGCCATTCCTGAGATGAGGATGTAGGGAAGATGAGTTGGAAGGCTAGACACTGAGTTGAGTATGGAACATGGTGAGTATGAAGGGACAAGGTGGGGACAGGGTCGGGTGTCCAGGTGACAAATGGTGCCAGATTAAGGCAGAATATAAAGCAAGGTATTATTATTTCTGAGACAGAGTTTCACTCTTGTTGCCCAGGCTGGAGTGCAATGATGTGATCTCAGCTCACCACAACCTCCACCTCCTGGGTTCAAGTGATTCTCCTGCCTCAGTGTCCCAAGTAGCCGGGATTACAGGCATGCACCACCACACCCAGCTAATTTTGTATTTTTAGTAGACGTGGGGTTTCTCCCTGTTGGTCAGGCTGGTCTCGAACTCCTGACCTCAGGTGATTTGCCCACCTCGGCCTCCCAAAGTGCTGGGATTACAGGCATGAGCCACTGCGCCCAGCCTATTATTATTATTATTATTATTATTATTTAAGATGGAGTCTTGCTCTGTCACCCAGGCTGGAATGCAGTGATGCGATCTCGGCTCACTGCAACCTCTGCCTCCCAGGTTCAAGCGATTCTCCTGCCTTAGCCTCCTGAGTAGCTGGGACTACAGACGCATGCCACCATGCCCGGCTAATTTTTTGTATTTTAGCAGAGACGGGGTTTCACTGTGCTACCCAGGCTGGTCTTGAACTCCTGAGCTCAGGCAATCCGCCCACCTTGGCCTCCCAAAGTGCTAGGATTGCAGGCATGAGCCACCACGCCCGGCCTATAAAGCAAAATGTTACAAATGATTTTGGGCTGGGCGCGGTGGCTCACATCTATAATCCCAGCACTTTGGGAGGCTGAGGCGGGCAGATCACGAGGTCAGGAGTTCAAGACGAGCCTGGCCAACATAGTGAAACCCCGTCTCTACTAAAAATACAAAAAAAATTAGCCGGGCTGGGCGTGGCGGCCAGCGCCTGTTATCGTTTGAACCTGGGAGGCAGAGGTTGCAGTGAGCCGAGATTGTGCCACTGCACACCAGCCCCTGCGACAGTGTAAGACTCCGTCTCAAAAAATAAATAAATAAACGATTTTGTTTGCTTCTTTTGAAACCATGGGGGAAGTAGGAGAGCTTCCTAGAATTGTAGAAAATCACAGAAAAGCCTGCTCTGATTGGACGTCTGGGTTTTGAAAGAGCACAGAAAGCCATGTGGTCCTAGACATGTGACTGCCTTTCTGGGCCTCTGTTTCCTCAACTACAGCCTTAGAGGCTACACTGGTCAAGTTGCAGAGTCACCACAGCGTGGAACTTCCTCCCACAGTTACTGCCATTGATTACAGTGCTCTGAAGGGGGTGCCACTATTTCCCATTTCATAGATGAGGAAACCGAGGCTCCCAAGGTCCAATGGCTTGCCTGAAGTCACTCAGCTGGTACTGGTGGACCGGGGACTGGAACCCACGTCTGCCTGCCCCAGAGCCCATTGCTCATCTCCACTGCATGAGATTCTCTCTTTCTGTGGTACCAGTTTTTGGAGCAACCAGAATGACATGAATTTGTTTTGGAGATAGATACAGAGCAAGTGGAGGCAGAAGGAAACCTAACTCCATGTTACAACAAATGCCCTTCGGGACTTTTCATGCCCCTGTTGACTGTACATGTTTGGATCCACTAAATAGCTGGATCAAATTTTTAAGGGTTTCTTGTTCTCTCTTGCTGTTTTAGACCTCCAGGGTCTCTCCGAGTCCCTCTCACGTTCAGATTTTTTCCAATCTCATTTTGTGCTGTTGTCACCTCTTTCCCCTCACAACATACCCCAAGTTTCAGAAATCAGTGTGACTCACATTTGTCATCATCTGCTGTGTGGGGTTTTTTTTGTTGTTTTGTTTTGTTTTTGCACCCAGGCCTTTGCTTCTGCTGTGCCTGCTGCTTTGAACACCCTTTTCCCATCTTAGATGCACACCTCCCAATCCTGGTGGTCTTTCAAAGCGCTACCTCAACACCCATTCTCTGGGAGCTGTCTTGGGCCACTCTATACCTCTGTGACCATATCCTCCTCTGGGTTCTAATCATATTATATGCCCACCTCTGAGGGCACCGAGCACTCTAAAGGTAGTTATGTGTTGGGGGGACATATTTTCCCCAATAGAACCAGCTTCTTCAGGGTAGGAAGTGTATCCGATTTCTCTCTCCACTGCTTGGTCCATAACATACCTCAATAAATATTAAATGAATAAGTGATTCCTTTTCTTTCTTCTTGGGGGCTGTAAACCAGTGAGTGGTCTGTGCTCTGGCCCTGAGCCAAATGACCTTAATGCTTATCATAACCTGACTGCTTAAAGACCCCCACACTCTTCCCAGTAGCACCCCCTTTATGCAGAGTTTAAAAGCCAGGCATGCAAAATAGAAGCAAAATAGGCATTCATAAGATGTCCCTCCTCCCCTGACTTCTTGCCCCCTCTCCTTCTAATCCTTCCAGCCTGTGGGAGCTCGGAGGCCTCAGCCTACCTGGATGAGCTGCGTTTGGCTGTAGCTTGGAACCGCGTGGACATTGCCCAGAGTGAACTCTTTCGGGGGGACATCCAATGGCGGGTGAGGGGTCAGGGCCTGGGGGTTGGGCATCCTGACAAAGGGACTGTGCTCTCCTCCCTCTCTGCCTTCTTAGACACCTTTCCACCCTGCCTCCTTCCATTATGGCCTGTCCAGTCTTCCCTTAATTGCCCCTCCATCTCTGATTGTCCATTTGCCCCAACTTGTTTCCTCTCTCCCCATCCATCCGTCTGTCCATCTATCCATCTATCCACCCTGTACATCCATCTATCCATTCATCTGTTCATTCATCCATCTATTTATCCATCCATCCATTTGTCCATGCATCCATCCGTCCATCCATCCATCCATCCATCCATCCATCCATCCATCCATCCATCCATCCATCCATTTTATCCATCCATCCGTTTGTCCATCCATCCGTCCGTCCGTCCATCCATCCGTCTGTCCATCCATCCGTCCGTCTGTCCATCCATCCATCCATCCGTCCATCCATCCATCCATCCGTCCATCCGTCCATCCATCCATCCATCCATCCATCCATCCATCCGTCCCTCATACCCATCCATCCGTCCCTCATACCCTTGTACTCCCGTCTCTTGTCCTTAACCTTTGAGCTAATCTCTTCCCCCATTCATCCCACCCCCGCCAGTCCTTCCATCTCGAAGCCTCCCTCATGGACGCCCTGCTGAATGACCGGCCCGAGTTCGTGCGCTTGCTCATCTCCCACGGCCTCAGCCTGGGCCGCTTTCTGACCCCGATGCGCCTGGCCCAACTCTACGGCGCAGCGCCCCCCCACTCGCTCATCCGCAACCTTTTGGACCAGGCGTCCCACAGCGCAGGCACCAAAGCCCTAGCCCAAAAAGGGGGAGCTGCGGAGCCCCGGCCCCCTGACGTGGGGCATGTGCTGAGGATGCTGCTGGGGAAGATGTGCGCGCCGAGGTACCCCTCCGGGGGCGCCTGGGACCCTCACCCAGGCCAGGGCTTCGGGGAGAGCGTAAGGACCGGGCAAAGCTGGGGGGGCCCCCACTCCGCGGGAAGGACCTGGGGGCGGGATTACATCAGGAATGGGGCGTGGCCAGAGCAGGGGTGTGGCCAAACCAGGGGCAGGGCTGGTGGTGGCCAGTGTTAGGGAGGGGCCAGTCCTCACCACCCCTCGTTTTGCTGGCAGATGTGTCTGCTCTCGGACAAGGCCACCTCGCTGCTCTCGCTGGATGCTGACCTTGGGCAGGCCCCCTGGAGTGACCTGCTTATTTGGGCACTGCTGCTGAACAGGGCACAGATGGCCATGTACTTCTGGGAGATGGTGAGTGCTGATTTGGCGCTCCTGCATCCCTGTCCTTTAGGCCACTGGATGCCAGCATTCACCATACAATTACCATACATTCCCTGACCCCTGACATCACCTGACAGGCGCCCCATCCTCCATCCCTGATATATGCCTCCAACTGCTTCCTCTTTCTTTTCTCTCTCTCATATCAAGCATTATTTTATGTTTTTACTTTTCGAGACAGAGTCTCACTCTGTTGCCCAGGCTGCAGTGCAGTGGCATGATCTTGGCTCACTGCAACCTCAGTCTCCCACGTTCAAGTAATTCTCCTGCCTCAGCCTCCCAAGTAGCTGGGATTACAGGCACTTGCCACCATGCCTGGCTAATTTTTTTTTTTTTTTTAAGTAGAGATAGGGTTTCACCATGTTAGCCAGGCTGGACTCCTGACCTCAAGTGATCCGCCTGCTTCAGCTTCGGAAAATGCTGGGATTACAGGCATGTGCCACCATGCTTGGCCAAGATTCTCTCTTTGTTTTGGCCTTTGATAACACATCTCAGTGTGGATCTCTCTGAATTTCTTTTACTTGGAGTTCCTTGAGCTTCCTGGATATGTAGACTTATGTCTTTCATCAAATTTTGGAACTTTTTAGGACATTGTATCTTCAAATATTATTTCTTTCCCTTTCTCTCTTTTCCTTTTGGACTCTCATTATGTGTATATTAGTATTCTGTATGGTGTCTTGCAAGTCCCTTAGGCTCTACTTATTTTCCTTCATTTGTTTTTCTTTTTTCTCCTCCAGCTGGATAATCTCAATGAACTTAGCTTCAAATTCACTGATCTTTATTTTGCCTTTTTTATGAATCTACTGTTGAGTCCCTCTAGTGGTTTTTATGTTTCAGTTATTGTGCTTTTTAGCTTCAGAGTTTCTATTTGGTTCCTTTCTGTAATTTCTATCTCTGTATTCTTTTTTTTTTCTCCCCTGGTCCCACTACAAAACTTTATTTTTGATTAGAGTACCATTCTCAATCTCTTCTATAAAAAGCAGGAAAAAAAGGCAGCCACGTCACTCAAGACCTATGTACATATAAGATGTTTTCTGGTTTTCTATTTTTTTTTTTAATTTTTATTATTTTTTAAAAAATAAATTCAGTGTTCACATTTCTATAAAGAATTAACCCAGTTTCAGGAAACACTGCCTCTATCTCTGTATTCTTATTCTCTAGGTGGTGAGACATCATTTTCCTGGCTACCTTTAGTTCTTTTTTCATGATTTCCTTTAGCTCTTTGAGCATATTTAAGACAGTTTAATAAAGTCTTTGTCTAGTAAGTTCAATGTCTGAGTTTCCACAGGGATAGTTTCTATTCATTTATGTATTTTTCCTACTCATTTCTATTCATTTCATTTCTTTTCCTTTCTTTTCTTTTTTTTTTGTTGTTGTCGAGACAGAGTCTCATTCTGTCACTCAGGCTGGACTGCAGTGGTGTGACCAGAGTGCACTGCAACCTTGACCTTCCTGGACTCAAGCGATCTTTCCATCTCAGCCTCCTGAGTAGTTGGGTCTACTGGCCACATGCCAAGCTAATTTTAAAAAAATATGCAGAGATGGGGTCTTACTTTGTTGCCCAAGCTGGTCTTGAATTCTTGGGCTCAAGCAATTCTCCTGCCTTGGCTTCCAAAAGTGCTGGGATTACAGGTGTGAGCCACCGTGGCTGGTCTCTATTAATTTCTTTTTTTTCCAGTATATGAACCATATTGTCTTGTTTCTTTGCATGCCTCATATTTTTTTTGTTGAAAAGTGGAACATTTTGAATATGATGATGTGGCAACTCTGGAAATCAGCTTATGCCCTCCCTCCAGGGTTTGTTGTGGCTGCTGCTTGCTGTGGGTCATTGTTGTTTGTTTAGTGACTTTTCTTTTTTCTTTGTTGTTGTTTTGGGGTGGAGTCTTGCTCTGTGGCCCAGGCTAGAGTGTGGTGGTGAAATCTCAGGTCACTGCAAGCTCCACCTCCCAGGTTTAAGCGATTCTCCTGCCTCAGCCTCCCAAGTAGCTGGGATTACAGGTGTGCACCACCACACCCAGCTAATTTTTGTATTTTTCGTAGAGATAGGGTTTCACTATGCTAGCCAAGCTGGTCTCAAACTCCTGACCTCAGGTGATCCACCTGCTTTGGCCTCCCAAAGTGCAGGGATTACAGGTGTGAGCCACCACGCCCACCCTGTTTAGTGACTTCTCTAAACTTTTTTTAGAAGGAAAGTCTGTATTCTTTGTCATGTGTGGCCATGGAAGCCCCTCTTCTGTTAGCTTAGTGGTCTGCTAGTGACTTGACAGAGATATCCTTAAATGCCTGGAACCATACAAGCAAACACAAGGCCGGGCGCGGTGGCTCAAGCCTGTAATCCCAGCACTTTGGGAGGCTGAGACGGGCGGATCACGAGGTCAGGAGATCGAGACCATCCTGGCTGACATGGTGAAACCCCGTCTCTACTAAAAAATACAAAAAACTAG